ATTTGCCCCACTGGACTTTGAAAAATGAAATACACCAATTTTCTGAAAAGCTACCTAGGGATGTTGTAAGGAGATCTTTATATCAGGGTTCTTCCATATCCACAGAGTTTCCAAGGCCTGTATGGAATTTCGGATTTCTTCCCCATGCATGAAAGGGCTTCATTGAATATCATTGTGGCATGTTCCCACCTCACTGCTTTAATAGAACTTCTCTGTTCAGAAAAAATTTAGAGTCCATTTGGTTTGCAGGAATAGGCACCAGGTATCGGAATCGGAATGGCCCATTTCCTTTCCTGTCATTTGGTTGATCTGAATGGAAGCCCCATTCTAATTCTTGGCAGAACAGGTTTCCTGCATATATGCAAGAATGGCCATCCCCCCCCCCCCGGTGCGGGAATGTGATTCCCATTCCAGCCTCCTTTTTTGAGGAAAAGAAAACCACTCGTTCCAGTACCCTACTCAATCCCAAGTCTTTAAACCACCCACCATCCAAGGTAGCTACTGATGACCACCATCTCCGGTGAGGTAAGACCGGTCGCCAGCCGATCATTCTTTCTCCATCTCTCCTATCTTCTTCGTTTTTCTTCCTCCCCTCTGTCACTGTCGCCGCTGCAAATTCCATTGGTGGTCAGTATTAGCAGATCCCTCTTCTTCCTCCCCTCTCCTTTCTTCCCCCTCCCCCCCTCTCTCTAGTTGAACCAAATAGCAACAATCGTAATCTGACTCCAATTCCTATATGAACCAAACACATTGGGAATAGGTGATTCTGATTCCAATTCCGATCCTGACCTTGAACCAAACGGACCTTAGGTTATGTATGAGCCTCAATTGAGGAGAAAACATATAGGTAATTGTAACATCAGAAAGGTTCTTAGATTCCAAATAGGTGTGTCAAGTGCAAGGAGCATGAGGAAGACACATGCCATCTATTCATTCAATGTAGGGTTGCAGAGTATGTGGTCTCTCTTTCTTTTCCCTAAGTGGCCAAAACTGGAAGGCAACAACAGCGCTAAATTTTCTAGAGCATCGTTACTTTTGCGGTCTTTGGGTATTTAGAGAGAACAACACAAGTGAATTTTTGAAGACAAGGTTTTAGATGATGTCAAGTTAGTATTGGATATCAGGTCTACACTTGTTGATTGGACCCTTGTTCATTCTGAGTTTTGCTTTAGCAGATTTGATTTTGAGAAATTGTGGCTGACTTTAGAACTTCGTAATTGGTATTCTTGGTATTCTGTTACATTGATGTTGGGATTTCTCTTGATGTAGTGTTTTGGGGTGAAATCTATTCCCCTGATTGTATCCTCTTTCTTTTTAACGTATTTATTTCTTACTATCAAAAAAATATAAATTGTCACTCTCAAATGAGAGAGACATGAGTGCCTGGTACTGTTAGACCAACACTTAAGATACTCTCTGTTGAGTGTTTCATTCATCAAACACGCATAAGGCACAATTAAGGGTGCAAGTTGGGTCAGGTTGGTTGGGACTTGGGAGTTTGTTAAATTTTCAATGGGCCTGAACCCCCAGCCTAAAGTAAATGAAATTCCTCAAATCGGGTAAACCGACTTGCAACCCTAGGCACAACAAATCTTCACGCTGGAAACAATTTGGACAATTCACCAAACATCTGACTGCCAAACAACCTCTCCCCCTGTTAATCTAGAGATCAGATCTGAAATTTCACCATCTTTCCTCATCAAGCCAATAGAAACCTACAGCAAAAACACATTCAAACTCTTCTTGATGCCACTCAAAATGAGACAAAATAACTTGAATGAATGGTTTTTTTATAAAAACTTGAATGAATGATCCTCAATCACCAAAATGGCCTAAAACAGATAACCTTGACCTACAATCAAGATGTAATAGTGTAACTCCCAATTGGTGCAAAAATAGAAGAGGAAAACAGGAGGCACCAACTCAATTCTTCATACAATCCAACAGAACTTGAATTTTTGAATCAAGAAAAACATATAAGAAATTCTAAAAGTCCAGAGAACCACATTAGATTTGCACAAAAATGTACCAGTTAAGCAGAAATCGTGATCTCTGATTTTTCTTTATTTTTTAGAAGAAATGTGTAGAACTTTTTTCTAGACAAAAAAAAATGCTTGAAAAGCCTACAAAAATCCTTAAAAACGAGGCAATTCAAGAATGATAGTCAATAGCACATGATCACTATTTTCAGTAAATCTTGGATTTACTATTTCTAATAATTCTCATCATTACTGCTTATAGTAATCATAATTACGGTTTGTAGAAAAACAGTGACTTGTCATTTTTAATAATTACTATTTGTAACAAAATAACTTCTAATAAAAGGAACACCAAGAGGATAAACTAAGATTAGAAGAAAGAAGATCAAACCAATAGAACTGTTGACAGAAATCCCAATACACCAAACAATAAGCATTAACTGAATGAAAGATAATAAGAACAATAAATATACCTCACAAAAAAAAATAAACGCTTGGCAGAAATAATAATAATAATAATAATAATAATAATAATAACAAGAATAATAATAACAGAAGAGCTGCCTTTTAGTCTTTACAAGACCTGTTGACACTCTTTAATAGACCAAATAGAAACAAAAACAGCAACTTCCTACTTGTATTCAAACAGAAATAAAAACAGAAATTTTTTATTTATACAAGGAAGAATTTTTAACTCTCTAGTCACTAATCCAACATGGGCCAAACATGTTGACTATGACTTTGACCATGACCTGCAAAACACAAAAATAAGTCATCCTTGAAGCATTCAGTTGGGCCACTTTCATATATCTTATTGAGTTAAAAAGCATTATAAGTGTACTTTGGCCAAATTACAACCAAGTTGACCAAGCTTGGACTGGACAAACAGTCACTTATTCTGGTCAAAACTGCATTCTGCAATTCTGCCATCATATGTCTTTTCTTAAATTTCTTTCTTTGAGATTTGACGGGAATGTTCTTGTAACCACTTGCATCAGGATCCTAACTTAATCATCGAGTGGACCAAAAATCAACCTAAATTCCTACCTAGAATGTGTTTCATCACCATCCAATCCTATCTATATGGGATCTGCTACATGAATCGTGTTTCACCAGTCCATTCTGTTTAATGACATATCTATTGTGAAATTATTGGTTCTTAAATCATTTCTTAAAATCTTACTATTTCCACCCAAGTCCTTTTTGGTCTGCCCCTTGCCCTTTTAGCCCCTTCAACTTGTATCAAACCACTTCTTATTATAGGTGTTGCTGATGTCTTCTATGCAAATGTCCAAACCATCTATTCTACTTTCTCTCATTTTATCACCTATTGGAGCTACTCCTAAGTTGCTATGAATGAATTCATTTCTGATCCAATGTTTATAGTTTTCCGCTCATCCATCAGCATACACATTTCTGATTCTATCCTACTATAATTCTAAGGGCAACATCCTCCTCATTCTCTCCCTTGTTATGAATTATCTAACCGAGGTACCAAAAAAGGTCACATTGAGTTATCTCTTGGTCTCCATCCTAAGTGTGCCCTAATTTGCACTCCTATTGTTTTTAAATTTGAACGCATTATATTCTGTTTTATTCCTACTTACTTTAAAAACTCCTGTTTATAAGACATTTGTCCATAAGCTTAATTTTGCATTTAATCCTCCATTAGTTTCATCAATTAAAAGGATGTCATCAGCAAACAACTGTCAGATTCAATTTTAAAAGGACAAGAGAATCTGAACAAAGGAATTATATTACATATCAAAAGAGTACATAAGGACAATTGTACCCATCTCTAAAATGAAAAAGAAAAGACTATGTATACAAGAAAGAAATAAATGATAATGTACATAAGATAGAAGATAAAAATGTGCTTTCAACCAAGTCAGCCCATAGTATCTCTACAACATGCACCATGGGATGTCCTCCTGAAAATATTTAGTCATTTTTTTTGGTAATCAATAAGAAACAAAATTTATTAATATAAAAAAGTACATCTGGAAGTGAGCTTGTCTCTAAACTCTACCACTGTGAGCTTGTCTTACACTGCTGGTCCCAAGCCCAAATTAAGGAGGGTTAGTCAGGTTGGCAACCGGCACTAAAACTTTTGCCAAACACTCATCAACATGGATTCTATCTAAAATGTGTCTCTTTTAAGCAAATAGTTGGAGACTCTAAGAAGTTCGAGGAAAATAGTTTGGAGATTCAGAAAATAGTTCATCAATCAGATTGTCTAAAGGCATCTGATCATTCTGCTTTTTAGTGTAGACCCTCTCTTAAGTGGGCCCCATCTGATAATGGGGCCAGGTTCACCATGTGGTAAGCTATACGGTCTGGGTCACAATTAGCAGTGCCCATTAGAAAAAGAATTAGTTGACATTAGAGTCAACCAGAACAAGATGTTCAAAAAAACGCATCACAACCTCCAAGGGTCCAGCCAATTAGAACCAATCATTCACCCCACCTTCAACCCCTTGTAACCCAGCCTCTGCCCCAACTCCCATTCGCCGCCAGTGGCTGAGTGGCATAAATAAAAGAAACCAAAAACAATTCAATAAATGCTCAAGACTGAGAGAAATACACAATCTATGTTTCATATATGGAGAAACTTGTATAATACATTGTCCAGCACCAAAGTTTCAGACTGCATTTGACTCTAGTCACTAGCTGCATAGAAAAGGTAAAAGTTTCTTTGCTCAAAGTATCAGCATAACACTTCTACAAAGGTTTTATAGCAGCATAGAACACTCGTATCCTCTCTCAAAATGATGTTACATATTTCCGTTTTATATGAAATTCCTAGAATGTACTCAAGCCAATTGCACCTATTGACCGAATTGATATGCTTATACAAGGATCAACTCAAGCAATCACCATACCAATTTCTGCATATGGCTATAAAGGAAATAGAAGAACCATGTAATAGCCTAAAGTCATGCCCCATAAAGTGCAACTGTGTACAGAAAGCATATAAAGACTTGTTTAGGAAAAACAAGAAATAGGATTGGGCAAACTAACTTGAAGGTACGGCCATTATGTGTAAGCAGCAGATACTCAGGAGTCCGAACAACTGTATTTTCACTACTATGCAATGCTATACATTCCTCAAAAGGAACCAATTGTTCTAAGTTACTTGCATCATCATGGAACTCCGGCTTAATTTCCACAGTCCACTGTTAAGCCAAAAAGTTATAGTCTTAGTTTCTAATAAATTGGAGGCAGGAAGAAAAGAAGAAAAGCTGCAGTTAACAATGGAATATCCATCTTATATAAAGGGCACATGATGGATATATGAAGGTTAAATGAAGGAAGCATAATCCACTGAACCCATTCAAGATCTCACCTCAGTAGTTTGTTGGCAAGTACTAGCATCCCTTAGGTAAATGCCTCGTGACGTTGGGGCTGCGATCAGTAAGACATCATGGATTTATCACATTAGCTTCATATTTCTGACAGTCAACATAAACTCAATATTTTGAATCTAAAAAAGCATCATCATTAATTGATGATGAGTAACAAATTTTCTTCTTCTTTTTATCTGTAGTGATACACTGCATAAAAATAAAAAGGAGAAAGGTATACAAGTTGTATACAAAAGGGCAATAATCCAGGAAAAACAAAAACAAACTCAGATATAAGGGACCCAACATTTTTTTATCAGTTACAGCAGTCAAAGATATCTTACTAATAAAAGTGTTAAAAAGATATAAGGGACCCAACTCTTGACGGTGATTCAAGAGTAGGGTGCACTACAATGAGCATATGCTGACCCATAGTCCAACACAATCAGAGAAGTTCAGAACACTAACCTGTTGGCTAACGCCTCAGACCTAGTACCCCCGACGCAAGAGTATATCTTCCAACCGTCTTCCTAGCTAAAAGCAACCGCAATGTAATTAATTGGTCTTTCTAGATACCCAACCGAACAAGGTGCTCAAGCTTGAAGCCCAAGCCTTTGATTCTTTAATCTGGTGCCTTAGGATCCAAGGTCCTTGAGAATTTGTCAACAACCAACCAATTACTAACCTAGAGGAGAGAGAGAGAGAGAAAGAGAGATCTGCACTTTGAAGTTTTTTTATTGGTAGTTCTGCGCTTTAGAAGTTTCTTTGCCTGATTGACCCTAAATATCTTAAGACAAAAGTTCCAAGGAAAGCTATAAAAACAAACTCCCCCCCTCCCCGATGACACTGAGTTGCCCAAAGAGCAACCCTCAAAGTTTATCTTGATTTTGCCCATTAAAAGTACCCATAGTTGTCAAGATGATGCCTAGGCAACAAGGCACCCTTGGAGGCTCTTGCCAAGTAGTTTTTTATATCATGTCATAAAAAACTTTTATATTGTAATATTTGTTAGATTATAATTATAAAATAGACATTATTAAACTAAAATATTCATTTTGTGTGTTTATATACTATTTTCTTTTTATTATTTTTTTATTTGTTAGGGCTTAATCAACACAGACATTGCTAACTGATGTATTGAACCCTCAAAGACTTCAAAACTTGAACCGATAAGACACTGCTAACTGCTGTATTTTTCTTTTATTATTTTTATTTGTTAGGGCTTAATCACCAAATCTACTTCTTCTTTCTTCCACCTTTTCAATTTTTATTTTCCTATAACAAAAATAGGGGTTCAGGCCCCATATTTTTTTAATTTTCTTTTCTTCCTTATTTTTCTTCTCATGAATATGTTGATTTTCTACACTTTAAATGATGTTTATACTTTTCTTATGAAATTTATGGATAATTATTAAGGAAATATGGCTCCTTTCGGAGCTGATGGCGATCAAGATGGGCCAAATGGCAGCTTATGCAATTCAAGTTCTAAACCTGAATTTGGAGACTTAGAGGAGTTCTGGACCAGCTTTGTGGACCTTGGGCTACTTGGTGATTTGGGCTTCCAAGTTGTTAGGTCCATTAGAAGATTCATTGCTGGAGTCAAAGTTGTCATTAATATCATATTTATGTTTAGTTAGTAGTTGAGAATACATTTAGTAGTCCTATGTCTTGTAAGTTGTGGTTGCATTAAATAGTTAATGTTTTGTTAATTGTCTTAGTCAAATAGTCCTTTGGGAAATGTTGGATTATTTATAATATTGAGAAATGTTGGGAAAAATCACCCAACTGTTTGAGAAATTCAAGAGAATGAGGAAAATGAGTGAAGAAAGAAAATAAACAGCTTTCTTAAGCTTGAAGTAATTGAATATCCTCCTCTTTATTCTTTGAACAGCAGTTAATAATGTTCTTATATAGGGATTCTATTTAGGTCGGCATCCAATAAAATCCTGAAATTACAAAAATACCCATGTCCCAAAATAGTAAGGAAAACCCAAACTAACCTTATCTAATAGCTATATACCCTGTAAGACCTAACAATAATAATCCACTAGAAATCATTAACTGATTGAGAAACAACTAGGATATCATCAAAACAAGAAAACAACTAAATTCAAGCACGAGAATTCTTCACTTTCTTGTTCCTTCTAGATTTGTCTCCTGCTTCTTCATAATTAAGTGTTGCAGCCTCTACATCAGTTCCCTCCACTTGAAGAGGACCCGCCCTCGAGTCTAGTTTGGAGATGGGTGGATGGTACTCAAAGATATCAGCAACATTGAAAGTTCAAAATATATTCATGGAAGTAGGAAGGTCTACAACATAGGCATTGTTATTAATCTTCGCCACGATCTTGTAGGGTCCAATCTTCTTTGGCTGCAACTTGTTGTATTGCCTTGTAGGGAACCAGTCCTTCCTTGGAAACACCATTACTTCATCCCATTCTTGAAAAAATTTTGGTCGCTATGCTGATCAGCTGCTTCCTTATACTTGGTATTGGCCTCTTCTAGGTGTTTGTTTACTTCCTCATGAATAGATATGATCTTGTCAGCAAAGTGCTTCGCTGTGACACTATATCCTAGCAATGTTGGAAGTAGCACCAAGGCTAAAGTATGTCTAGGAGTGTGTCCAAACACAACCTCAAGTGGAGATTTGTCAGTAGACCTGTTCACCATGTTATTATAAGCAAATTCTGTTTATATAAGAGCTAAATCCCATTGTTTAGACTTCTCACTAGATAGATCGTGTACCATATAACCAAAAGTCCTATTCACAACCTCTGTCTGCCCATCGGTTTGAGGATGATAAGTTCTGTTAAATTGTAGCTCAGAGTCAAATCATCGCCATAAAGTTCTCCAAAAGTGGCTAAGGAACTTTCTGTCACAATCTGAGGTAATAGACTTTGGAATGCCTTGTAGTCCAACCACTTCTCTAAAGAATAGGTTGGCTACTTGTGTTGCATCAGCTGTCTTCCTGTAAGGAATAAAATGAGCCATCTTCGAGAAGTGATCCACTACTACAAACACTATATCATGTTGCCTCTGAGTTCTAGGCAACCCAACCACAAAGTCCATGGAAAGATCCTCCCAAGGACCCTCCGGATTAGGCAATGGCATGTACAACCCTGTGTTTTGGGTATGCCCCTTAGCTGTCTGGCAAACATAGCAACCTTGTATAAACCTCCCAACATCCCTCTTGAGATGTGGCCAATAATAACGCTGTGTTTTAGGTCGTCATCCAGATCCAATAAAACCCTGAAATTACAAAAACACCCCTATCCCAAAATAGTAAGGAAAACCCAAAATAACTTTATCTAATATGTATATACCCTGTAAGACTATTCCTAGCAATAATAATCCACTAGAAACCATTAATTGACTGAGAAACAACCTAGGATATCATCAAAACAAGAAAACAGCTAAATTCAAGCACGAGAATTCTTCACTTTCATGTTCCTTCTAGATTTGGCTTGTGCTTCTTCATAATTAAGTGCTGCAGCCTGTACATCATCCCATGTAAGTGTCATTAATACTGTTGTTGTAAAAGGGTCTATATGAACTGAATGAAACCTTGCAATCCAGCAATTCATTTTTGGACTGTCATTCCTAGTTTCTGCAATTGTTGTGTGTTCAACTTTGCAACTACTGTAGCCCTACTATGCTTGCTTGTGGGTGGCATTTCTCTCTCAGTTTCTACACTAGAAATTGTCTGGGCTTCACATTGAAAAATTATTTATTATCAGCCTGACATCGGTAAAATAATTACTTATTATTAGTGTGACAGCATGTTCACCTACAACTTAGAAAAATTCTGCAATATCCATGGACATCCAAGTGATAGAAAGGAAAGATACAGATAATGAAAGCATACTTGATTTCCCGGTTTGGTTAATCTTTATCCGATAACAAACACAGGGTAGATGCCTACATTGTTTAATATATTCAAGTGCTCTGCCATCAAATACATGTCAAAGTCAAGAGAGTTCAATCAAGTTGGCCTATCTTTGCAGTTAAAGGGAATTATGGACAACAATAGAAGAACTTACTTGTCAACTTGCATAAGCCCATGTCCAGTAGATAATTTATCTTCTGGCAGACCACCTACAGAAACCGAGGTATTTTCAAGTGCCTTCCTTACGCTGTATGGACTTACAGGAATACCTTCGGTCTGCATATATTTAACGGTAGAATGTCAGAGCAATTAATAGAGGTCCATGCCAGTGATAAAAATAGAGCATATCAGATCAACCTTCATTGCACTAATGAGTAAAGCAACTCCTCCACAAGCAGATGGAGATGCCATTGACGTCCCATTCATAAGCATACGTCGTTGGAGAGTCCATGTGGGGACAGGTGCAACTGCCCCACCAGGGGCACTTACACAGACACCGAGATCTCCATCAACAGTCGGACCTCGGCTAGACCTGCATCCAGTGTTTCCAAGTGTAAGTGATTCCCTTGTTTAATCAACTTAAATCCACTCTCTCAATCAACCCAAGTGGCTCTTACAATAGAACATGCATTGAAAACCTTAAACTACTCAAGGTTTGAAGAGAAATGGCATAACCGGATTATGTTCTAGAAAGGATGAATTTTGGGAAGAAATGGCAAAATTGGATGAAGGTATGTATTTCCACACCCACATTTTGAGTGCCCCTGAATGGAAACCCCATGGGTTTCTTCAAAAGTTCTAAAGAGATCCAGCAGGGGGATCCTCTTTCACTGCTCCTATTTATTTGTCAGATGGAAGCATTGGCTAAACTCACAACTAAGGCAGCTGAGGGGGGCTTCTTGAAGGCTTTCGACTTTAGCTACACAGGGTAGTGCTAAAGACAAGCTTCCTCAGTTTGCAAATGAGACAATCTTTTTCATAGATGCAGTCCCTGCAAATTTGCATAACATTCTGGGAATCTTGAGGTGGTTTGATTGGTGTGCAGTCTGAAAACAAATCTTAGGAAGAGCTCTTTCTTTCTAATTGATCCATTGGAGGTGGAATATTTGTCAGGTGTTATGGGTTGTGAGGTAGAGTACCTTCCTATCAAATACTTAGATCTACCTCTAGGGGCAATTGTATCTTAAGTGCTACCTAGAATTCAGTGGTTAAATATGTAGATAAGAAGCTTTCTTTCCTCATGGAAAGCCAAGTATTTACCAAAAGGGAGGGAAGGTGACTTTAAGCAAGAATAGCAATGGAAAATCTCTTTACATACTATTTATTCCTCTTCCCTATTCCCACTATAGTAGCCAAAAGATTAGGAAAAAAAGATCCAGTGAGACTTTCCTTGGATGGGAATGATGGATAACCACAAGATTCATTTACTGGATTGGAGTAAAGTGTGCTCCCTAAAGGAGGAGAATGGTTTGTGTATTAGAACAATAAAGATAATGAATTTGGCCTTATTGGGAAAATAGTTATGGAAATACGATGAACAAGGAAGCTTGTGCAGTTGTGCCTTGTGGAGGTAGCTCACAGAGGCTAAGTTTAAACTTAATGAAAAAATGATCAGAATCAGCAGAGCTCAGGTTACTTCTTCCTATGGCTGCTCTGTATGGAAAGGGATTGAGAAGACTCATAGCAGTTTTATGAGAGGTAACTTACACAGAATTAGTAATGGGGAAAGAGTCAAATGTTGGAGGGACTATTGGTGTGACAGCAGGTCTCTGTCAGAGTTATTCCCAGTACTTTTTTGCAATGGCTAAACATAGGTGGCACGGTATTATGCAGAGAGAGGGCATGAAATGATTTGGACCCCCAATGGCCATTGAAATGATTTTGGGATGTGAGATTGCCCAATGGCCATTGAACTATTTGGGGCTGTCACTAGGGGATAACCCAAGTAAAAAAAGCTTTTGGAACCCGGTGATTGACAGATTCACAAAGAAGTTAGCCTCTTGGAAGAAAAACTACCTCTCTTTGGGTGGCAGGATAACTTTGATTAAGTCAGCATTGGCTAACCTGCCTGTTTACTTTCTGTCTGTGTTCAAAATTCCTGAGGGAGTATGCGGGACTTTGGAAAAGTTAATGAGAGATTTCTTATAGGAGCCAAGGGAGGAGAAAAGAGATCATAGAGTCAGGTGGGATATAGTCACCAAAACCAAAAGTGATAGTGGGCTTGCATTAGGTAATTTGCAGAAAAAGAATGGAGCTCTATTAGCTTTGGAGATTGACTTCGGAAAGCGATAAATTGTGGGCTCAAGTAGTTTTAAGTGTTTATGGGCAAGCGACAGACGGCTGGGACATGGGAGTATCATCTAGGGATACAAGAGCTTCTCCTTAGAAATCTATCCATGCCATTCTTCCTTCTTTCCTTCCTTTAATCAGGTATGACATTTGCTCTAGTAACCTTGTGAAATTTTGGGAACATGTTTGGGTGGGAAACACACCGTTGAAAGAGCTATTCCCCTCCTTGTATTCCCTTTCGAGATTTAAAAATGAGCCAATTTCCACCTTTTTAAACATCTCTAATTCTACTGTTGATTGGAACTTGGGTTTTAGAAGGGCCCTTAGAGACTCTGAATTGAACCTTATTTCTGATCTGCTCAAAATCCTGTATGAGGTGGGTATTGATCCCTCTAGGAGGGATAGTAGGATTTGGGTCCCTTCTCCCTTGGGTATTTTCTCTTGCTCTTCCTTTTTCAAAGAGTTGGATCATTCCCCACCTGTTTTTGGACACCCCTTCCTAGTTATGGAAGGTTGGGGTAGGCATAGACCAATCCCTCCCAGAATTAGTGCTTTTTGTTGGGAAGCCTTCTTAGAAAAGTGTAACATTTGTGATTTACTTCAAAGAAAAAGGCCTAATTGGTGTTTATCCCCACATTGGTGCATCCTATGCAAGGAGAATGGTGAGACCTGTCATCACCTATTGACATCCTGCTCATTTATTTCGGAGACCTGGTGTTGGTTTTCCTCTCTTTTTGGTTGCAGGTGGACCTCTCCTCCAAATGTGCAAAGTTTGTTCCATTATACTTCAGTTAGGGGGTTAAAGAAGAGAGGGAAAATCCTGTGGAGATGTGTAACAGCAGCTATCTGTTGGACAGTTTGGGAGGAAAGGAATCAAAGGATAAGTGCTTGGGAAAGGAATCAAAGGAAAGGAATCAAAGTAATTTTTGGGCCCCTATTGTGGAGAAATTTGATAAGTGCTTGGCGGCTTGGAAAAAGAATTACATTTCAATAGGGGGTAGGCTGACCTTA